CAACTAATATGACAACTTTAATGTACACTCTATCATATAAATTCTATATACACAATAAATTAATAAGGATAACTAATACTAAAAAATAGTTTATTATCGTGCACATCGAGCTCATATCTTTCACATGTATGTTATTTCTATAAATTGTTTAAAGAGTTTATGCAAAATGCTTTCCTGTAATAATATTTGATTTTGCTGTAGACACAATAGATATATATATATGCATATGTATACTGTCTCAAAACAGTACACACACACACATACATATATATATATATATTTATATATATACAGGGTGTCCGACAATTACTTTAACATCTCTCGTAGGCAGGTAGAAGGAGTAAAACTGAGTCGAAAAGTCCTGAACCATTTTTTTCTATTACATATAATAAAAGAGTAATTGTTGAATAAATCAAACCAATCAGCGTCGACCTTTAGCCGCCCGGGAAAAAATGGATTAAATCTAAATAGATCTAATTTAAATCTAACGAGATAAAAAAAATGGAAAAATAGATCTAATTAGATCTAAATAGATATAAAGTTGATCTAAACAGATATAAATGGATCTGTGTAAATTTACACTTTATTTATCAGTATATCTATTTTAGATCTATAGTAGATTTACTCAGATTTATTATATTAGATCCAAGCAGATCTAAACAGAACTAAGCAGATCCGAATAGATCTAATATAGTAGATCTGAGTAGATCTAAAGTAGAGATCTAATGATAAATAAAGTGTAAATTTACATAGATTTACTTATATCTATTTAGATCTAATTTGGATCTAATTAGATCTAGTTTTCCATTTTTTTTTATCTTGTTAGATTTAAATTAGATCTATTTAGATTTAATCCATTTTTTCCCGGGCGGGCCCAGTGAGCCGCGCGGAGCGCTCACACCAGACGTATGATTCACTAACGTGCGTTCGGCTAAAGGTCGGCGCTGATTGGCTCGATTTATTCAACAATTACTCCTTTATTATATGTAATAGAAAAAAATGGTTCAGGACTTTTCGACTCAGTTTTTTACTCCTTCTTTCTGCCTACGAGAGATGTTAAAGTAATTGTCGGACACCCTGTATATATATATACTACGTAATACATATTGCATGTATATACTTTTTACGCGCGCAACAAGAGAATTCATCTTTGTATAGCAAATAAACATCGCAACAGAATAGCTTTATAAATTTCTTTGCAATCTCCCTCTCTCTCTCTCTCTCTCTCTCTCCGCATTCTTTCTAAAAATAAACATCCTATATGACGCTAAGGTTTGCGTAAGATGTATATGAATTACTGAATACTATATATCGATCATACGTATGGATGTGCTAACATCATTTAGATATATAAATGAGATCGTGTAAAATACTGTAGCCCGAAGCATAAAATCACTCCAATCGTCACGCTGTGTTTACAATAACTTCAATATGCGATTTCAACTTAGTAACTGTTTTTTGTTTTTTTTTTTTGTTTTTTTTTACTGTCTTTGTGTGGATTTTGTGAACAGCAAAATAATGTTGTTTTTTTTTCTTTTTTCTTTTTATCTGCATGTGTATACTCGTTTGAAAGTTTTTTTCTTACACGGTAATAGGTTTTTTTTTGAACGATAAACGCGTTTATACTTTACAGAAATAGATTATAATAAAACTTTTTTATCGGAAAAATATTTTAAATTGTTCTTCAGGTATTTTTATTTTGTTGTGACGGAAGCCTATAGATTTCTTTTTTCTTCTGAATATATATAGAACTTTCATAAAATTATAAATCCAAAATCTGCGATTCTTTGACCCTCTTTTCTTTTCTTTTGTTATTATTATTATTTGTTTTTTTTTTTGTCTTTTTGTTTTTTTGATTAGTCTCTTATCTCTCGTTACAATCGTCAAGTGTCTCAAAAAACTTTGCAAGGGAATGGGACTCGCTCTTTTTATTTCCTCGTATTTGATTAACGTACAGGGCAATTTTTTCGTCGATTTCACACAACTCCCGCCGCTGCTTGCGAGACTTGACAGACTTCTGCAAAAATTTATTTATTTGCGAAAAGCGTGTGGGATTGTTATATTTTAATTATTCTTTTTATCTTTCACAGATGCCGCCGCGCCAATCTCATGCGCGTTCGAATGAGCGCTGGAATCACCGTTTGAATCACCGACGCTCCTGTGTCTTTTGGATATCTTTTTTATCTCTTCGTGAGCTTCCACAACGTTACCCTTGCCGATGCTTTTCTGCTCGACGTGCGTCTTGTGCGAGAACGACGCGGTTGATTTTTCATTGGTCTGGCAATGCTTCTGATCCAAAGTTTTTTGCACGTTCGCAGCGCTAAGTGGTTGCTGAGCGCTCTTTTGTTGAACACCAGTAGAATCGAAAACGTTGTCTTTCTTCTTGCATTGCGAAATTTTACCTGCTGTAATTTGACGTTCGTCGTGAGTTTTGTTCACATCGCCGGACTGATTGCTGCCAGACGACTGTTTGTCACATTTTTCCGCGCCGATTTCTTTCGAATAGTCGTCGCTCTTGGTACCGGTCGGCGAGTCCTTCTCTTCGGCTATTCGTGGCAATTGCGTGCCACCGCAGGAATTCGACATGCCAACGTTTCCTAAATTAATAGATATACCATGAGTCAACTTAGAATAATCCGCTTTTTGTTCGCTTGATATTTTCTTTTCGCCTTTCACGTTCTCATTGGTTTCCTTGAAACTGTCGTTTGAATCGTCCAAAGTCTCGCTGGTGTTGTGAGACGATTGGGCGATTGTCACGCGCGGCGTCACCTTCACCACGGTGTTCGCCAGTGGCGATATCGACGTTTTGTTCTCCGCCGAACGTGGATGAAGTCGATCGGGACTGAGCGCACGACGGAGCAACGGAGAACCCGGTTCCGCGGATTTCGGACGACCGTATCCTTTTTTCTGACTATTTGGCGTCGACAAACACGCTCCTGAATAACAACAGAAACGTTAAAATATAAATAATATAAATACAATCGACACGAAATTGTTTTACCATCGTCGAAATTTTTATTATTGTCTTGTTTTCGATGTGTGATTTATTATTATCTCTTTTATACCTGGACTGTACGACTGTGTGGTGTTGGAGCTACCGGGCTGATGGCCAGTGGGAAACGCCAAAGGACTCGGGCTTCTTGTTGGACTGGCAGGAATCGGCGACGGGCTCGGTGTTCTGGCCAATGGCGACAACGGTATATGACCCACGGACTTTCTGCGATTCGGCGAATGTATGTTCTTCGCCGCTGTGTGCAGCTTATGCTTAAGACCGTGAAGCGTGCTAGGTCGCTGATAATGCGCCTGGTTCGAGATGCTTGCCAGATTGCCCGCAGACGTGTTTGAACCCGGAGACGAAGAATTCGGGCTCGAGCACGGACTGGAGTTCCCGGTGGAGTGATAAGAATCCGAAGCTGCACGATTTGTCGGCGGTGACGGGCTGCAGACGGATTTTGAGCAAGCGGCGAAATACAGCGGCGTTTCTTGCGAACGAGTGAACGATTGAAACGATCGACTAGGTGTGACCATCGAGGGCGAGCAAATTCCCGCAGCCATCTAGAAAGAACGTTGATATAATGTATTTGTGATTCCGAAAGAATCCAAAATGAATTTTGGCTATTGAAGCAATAACATTGTTGTTGGAGTGTATATATTTAAATCCGTTTATTAACAATTTTATGGCATAAACGCTTTCGATACCTTGTATTAGGTCCTTTTCAATTTAAAATTCCTTAGATAAAATACGTCGCTCAATGCTGATCGAGAATATCTGCACTAGCCATCCCGACCAACACTTTACAAGAGCGAAATCGCGACTGAGAAACAGCGTGTGTATAATGTTATTATAATGTTATTTTCTCTTATTATACCCAGATAGCCAACTGAGTGCAAGTTGTTGGCAACTTGCCACAAATATTACTCATATGTTTTCAGCAATGTAACAAAAGGGTGTATCCTCTTTTCAGTATGTTCTTGCCAGCAACACTTTTCAAAATATAATAACAGCAAGTTCCCAACAACTCATCGGCAATAAACTTATATTATTTTTCTCAATTTTATGAATAAAAATTATTGCTCACATATTGCTGACTCACATGTCATAAACATTGGCTACAACAATTGATTGATAATAAAACTCAGCATATTGATACCGAATTGACAAAAACATTTTCGTTGCGTTAAATAAAAACAACACAACAGGAATTGACGAGCAACTTAATCTATACAATGATTTGCTTTATATTGAGTTTTCACATTTGGCTATCTGGGATAATGTTATTATAATGTTATTATAATGTTATATTCTCGATCAGCATTGAGCGACGTATTTTATCCAAGGAATTTTAAATGCATTTGAAAAGGACCTAATACAAGGTATCGAAAGCGTTTATGCTATAAAATTGTTAATAAACGGATTTAACCTTTTCGCTCCGGGACTGGTCCATATATGGACCAGCAAGAAAAGCGAACGTAATAGATGTTTATAAGGTCAATTTAATGCACTAAATTTAGGAAAAAAATTGAAAAAAATCCTGGTTACTTCCTTGACCTTCAAAATTAACTTTGAAGGGGGGGGGGGTAGCAGGTTATTATTAACTTTTTCAGTTAAAATGCGAGGTCAATTTTAAAGGAAAAATTCCCGGAGCGAAAAGGTTAAACATATACACTCCAACAACAGTGTCATTGCTTCAATAGACAAAATTCATTTGTTCTTTGAAAATTCTTGAAGCTACATACAATCATCTTTACAGAATCCAAAATCTTTCTATGTTTTCTTTTTTTTTTTGGCGAGTTAAAAACTGTTCGCTGATAATAATTTGACAATCTTATGTATCGCTAACAAATGGAAGCTTTTTTTTTTTTTATACGTGTTGTGTAAAGTTTTTGTTGTGACCGCAACAACAATCATTTGCGCGGTGTGGCAAATAGCACATTCGAAAGCCATAAATGTAATCGTAAGAAAAAACGCATGTGTTTAACAGAACAACAGAAGCGACATCGGCAAAGAACGACGGGAAAGAGAATAATGAATATGAGAGAAGAGAACGAATGATTGAAGAAATCATACCATAAGTGGAGGTTTGCTGTCGCTGGACAAAATGGGTGCTGACAATGGACAACTGATAGTTAACGGCTGCAAAAGAAAATGCGCTTAACGTAACCAGTGTGTATGCTTAGTGCTTTACCTTTTTTTTGTTTTTTTTTTGTCTTTTTTGCAGTAACGTGTGTGTTAGAGATAGGAATAAAAAAGAAAAACTTTCGTGTGCAATCGCTGTGCAAAAATGAATTAACAACATCATCAAGAACATTAACGCAAAACGAAACTGAATGCACTTGTTTGACACAGCGTGGTATTGTTAAAAATTATATGCGAATATATCGCGGAAATAATAATAAAAAATTGCGTTCGACGAGTGTCTCGCTTTAGTAAGAGAAAAAGCAAAATTTTTTCTACCTGCTGCATCTCTACGCTCGCCCGTTTCGAGCTGATTCTCTTAAAAAGAGACGCTTTTCGTTTCTTATCAGAATGATCTCGCTTTTGCTTTCGTTGTTTGTGCGGCGTTCGGCGCGCCAATTTGCTTTGTGCGAGATCGCGTCTTCTACCGCCGGTCTTGATGCTGGTATTCTCCAACGGTGTGCTACGTAACGTTACGTGATCACCGCCGCTAAGCATCAGCTGCAAGACTTGAATGTGATAGAGACCCTGTACCGGTTCGCCATTTATATGCGTTATAAGATCGCCCGGTCTCAGCCCAGCTTCGAATGCCGGACTGGATTGTTCTACCTCCTGTAGAAAAAAAAAAAAATTAATATACACTGAAATGTAGAAACAAAAAATCAAATATATATGTGTGTTGTTGTGTTTTCACACGTACCATTACTAGATGATGCATGGTGTAGAAATCGCTATCGCCATAATAAACCCTAATAGTGTGTACGGCAAACCCAAAGCCGGATGGTCCTCGACGAATGATGATGGGCGGTTTCAAACTAGTCACGAGAGGACTCAGCTCGCGACAAGGCGAAGTATCTCTCGAAGATGCGGTCGATGATCCACCGGGAGATTCGATAGGTTGAGCGTTTAATGGTGCGTCGTCTATAAGAATATATATATATATATATTGATAAGAATGTATTGAGAGAAATGTCCTCCGGTTTTTCAATTGGTTATTCCAAAGGAGTACGATGAGCGAATCGGCTATTGGGAACCAATGCGGGATGTATTGCAGCAATTCATCATGTTTATGAGTTTGAACAAAACGTTTCGACTTTATTTTTAAGTCTTCTTCTCAGTTGTACACAAAAACACAATAGTAGATGTTGCAATATAAAAATTTTTTAAATATATAACTGCCACAATTGTCACGTTTAGGTCAGAGATTTA